ATCACGCATACGAGGTCCTCAAATAGAAATACGCTCTCAAACCGCAGACTATAATAAAGCACTTCGCTTTCACAAGTATGGATACATCTCCATAAGAAGTATCTCACACATACATGAACTTGCGAGATCTCACGTTAACTACGTGAACCACATTGAAACGTGAACCAGGACAGCGCCTGGCAGGACAAATCCTGATGCATGTTCAGAGAATACTACTTCCGCGCATACAGAGTATAACACTTCTGCGCACACAGTGTACGACTTTCGGACACACACAGCGTAAGACTTCAGAGGCACCGCCATGTACAGCATACAAGTGCTCCGGGATGGCGCCTGCGTATGCGCGCATACGCGTCCGCTGAAACCAGGCCATGCTACAGCAGTACTTGGCTGACCGTTCTGTCTAGCAAGGCACACACTCGCCTCACACTCACGCACATGTAATCACATCACACCTGTTACAGTAGCAGGTGTGATGTGATTACATGTGCGTGAGTGACACATAAAAGAAAACATTAAAATGATTCAGTAGGAACTTTTTTTTTAAATGCAACACTATTTTCGGGACACCATTCGTCTTTCCAGGGCACCATATACTGAGCTGCGGCTACACGACAACCTCTGGTACGTTCTGATCCTCATGTATCAAATGGTGATCGGTAGCAGCGGAAAATAATGTGTCCGTGGCATCATAATCCGACAGCATACATCAACTCAAGAGTGAACGCCACAGCACCACGCCTTCCACTAAACTCTCAAATACAAATCCCAATTCTGTTGACTACGTAATACTCCGAGTAAACTGTAACACTTATCATCACATTAGAACACAAAAATACTACTTAGTGTTTTTAAGTCATAGCACGTTAAAGTATAAACATGTTCTTTTTTTCGGTACATCGTTTAAACATTTTGAACTTAGAAAATTATCACATGTAAATCACACCTCGTGTATCAAATTATAACATAACTCGAGCAAGTTAAATTTCATTGAATGAAAACTATAACTCATTTAAAATACCTCCATTTTGGGTACGTTAAGAAACAATGAAAGTACTTGCGGGTACTTTTTATTATAAATCGAACAAAAAGATTTAACTTTTGGCTTAAAACATTTCACTGTACACTTTCACTCTACACTTTAACGATTCGTCAGTGTTGTAAATACGACAACAAACTTGATTTAAGGAATTGAACACAAAAAAAAAACGCGAAGCACATCATAGTATTTCACCAACGTAATAACCCTCACACTATTCAAAAGTTATAACAGGTGGGCAGTAACAGGGACTTTATCCCACTTCTGATGTCGGAGAATTATTCAACAGAGTATTCCACTTGTGATCTTGGAAATACATCAGGATAGCGATAACTGTTCAAAATAATAAAAGTGTGAGAGCGGATGTTCAACTTGCTCTCTTGCTTACGCAGTTTAATCATTATCAGTAATAAGACAACGTAACGCACTATACATTCAGTATAGTGAAATTACAGTTCGACCACACCGTAACTCGTCTCTGCCACAATCACACACCATTGTAACGTGAGGTACTTAATTACATGATAACACCAAAATATGTAAACCAACAGCAACACTACTTATCTCAATGTAACAGGACAGCATCTCAGCAACACCAATCCTCCTTGACTGCACTAGAAGAATTACAACAACGAATAGAACCACGACAATATCTTAGTACTAGTAGAGTGACCACACTCGTTGAATGACTGAAGCGGAATCTCTCGCGCACGGCACCTACAGTGAACTTTATACTACAGACACAAGAGGGGGTATCTCGATATACCCTCCATTGCACCTCAATCCAACCGGGTATTTTATAGACTCTCCGACGAATATAATTTTACGGATTTAATCGCCGACCCATTTGTGCTACAACTATACTACTAATATAGCTGAAGCATGGCTCTACCACGTACTACGCTTTTACAACAAAATTCCAGAAAATATACAAAATTTGATCCGCTCAAAGTTCAAAAACTTTATTAAACTAAGTTTGTATAAAAAGGGTTATTATAATATTAAAGAATTTATAGATGTTAATAACCCCTGGAAATGAGGTGATCGCTACCAAGCTATTTCTAATTTGTTGTGTTGTTAATTTGTGTAACATCATGATTGTAAGCTGTTATATAAAAAAAAGTCCCGCTGGGTTTCTTGCTGGTTCTTCCCAGGACATAGGTTTTTTCCGAACCAGTGGTAATCAAACAAAAGAATGACTTTAAATAAGTATTATTTATAGTCTATATTGAATAAAAAAGTTTCTGTTTCTGTTTCTAGGGAAGAGTGGCGGATATTTCTTTGCCCTCATACTCTCTCAGATAAGGGAGGAAGCCTGTACCCAGCAGTGGAACGTGTATAGGCTGTAACATTAACGTCAACTTTAACGTGCCAAATTTAATATCTTGCAACATAAAATAACTAATTTTTTTTATAGGATAGGGTGACAAACGAGCAAACAGTCCACCTGATGGTAAGTGGTTACTGTGACCCATAGACATCTACATCTATCCTCAATAAAGACTCAAGATGCAGATGCGTTGTCACCCGTGAGGACTAAGATGGAATGCCTCTTTGCCAGTAAAAAGGGGTCTCCTGAATACAAAGATGTTTTACGTTTTCGTCGCCTCCACATGATATTTTTGTCAGCATAAGGTACCCTTCTGTATCTGAAATGAATATAAATATTGCTACAAAGTAAAGTAATAGGCTATACAAGTCCCTCTACTGGGCACAGGACTCTTTTTTTAATTTCTGAGAGGGTTTTAGGGCAAGGAAATGCCCGCCGCGCTGCCCCAATGCGTGTTGACGAAAATTGAAATTACAAATTTCATTCGTGCTGTCGGGGATCAAACCCGGGAAAATTTACAGCGAACGCTTTGACCAAGATCTATTAATACGATACAAATAAATACGATTTAACATATATAATAAAAAACTGTTACGTACTTGAAACTTGAACACTTGATAGCTCGTGACGCCTACCGGACAAAGCTACAGCACAATGTAATTGAAGATGCATAGCCGCGACATAATTCTCAGTGATGCGCAAGCATAACAGGCAGTATGTCACTTATATAATTGTCATCTCTGCAGTCTATTAATCTTTGCACTTTTATAAGTAATACAGAACGCTAAAATCTCTGCAATCGCCGTTTCGTCAAGGTCATTCAGGCTAGTTAAAGCCTTAAAATGGAATTTAAACAAATAAAACAAAACATATTTGAAAAGGCGTGCAGAACTTAAAGCGAATGAAAGATTATTCTATTTCATGAAATTATAAATCGAATAAACAAGTCGCTATCTATTTATCGATTTTATGTCTGTTAATTGACAACATCGAATCTGACAGCTATGCCTATGTCATAATTATCAAAACTAAATAGTCGCAAAACGAATTCCTTTGCATTTCTGTTATTTTGTTTGTTTCCTCGCGGATTTATTAGCTAAGCAACGACTCCGATAATTCTTCTCACCCTATTGATTCTTCCGATAACCTCTGCACGAACTTGGACTCCATATCCACTGTTAACTCCAGCTTTCACACCGGCCAGAGTTCTTCCCAGCTCTCAGTAACTCATTCAAGAGGAAATTTACGCTGTTGGTTTAAATGTCACGAAAATAAAATGTTCTTGTGAAAATAAAAAACCTTTATATATTAAAAATTAAAAATATATTTTTTAAACCAATTTCTTAACTGTTTCATTCTTTTAATTGCATATTATCATTTCCATATGCTTTTATATGTGGGCACCCTTGGCCGAAGTGTCTATGAACGGTGGGCATTCCCCTTTGCTTGTTTTATGTTTGTAAATATTTATTTAGCCGAAGGTCTCTAAAATCTCTTTAAAAAATCAATCTCTGTTTTAATTTGCAAGGCTGTGGTTATTATTAAAAAATTTGTTAAATAAAGAATTATAATAAATATGTGTATCTATACATATGTGAACATGTATATCAAAATGTATGATACTGGAAATATGGTTCATAAAATTTTTCGTGATAATGTGATTATACAGTTCTAAAGTAAAGAAAGCTTATATCAGATTTCAATGCCGTTAAACATGTAGAATTTATTATCTTATTAATCACTAGCTGCTCCCCGCGACTTCGCCCGCGTGTTTTTGGGGTTTCAATTTTTTTGCGCGGAACGCTAATTTTTTTCTATAATAAAAGTAGCCTAAGTTACTCCTTGTGACATCAGCTATTTGCCAGAGAAAATCCCGTCAAAATCGGTCCAGCCGTTTCGGAGATTAGCCGGAACAAACAGACAGACAGGCGGACAGACAGACAGACAAAAACTTTAAAAATTGTATTTTTGTTATTAGTACAGTATATACTTTCATATGCATTTAGTAAAAAGCTGTAATTTTGACATTACAAACAGACACTTCAATTTTATTTATTTGTATAGATTAAGGTAAGGCAGTAGAGTACAATTAAAAATGGTCTTTAAAAATTATATCATAAACAGAATTATTTAAAAAGACTTACATATTATCTTTTGCACCACGTAAGAAAATAGAGATACGATGTGTTTGTTATAGTTTTTAAATATCCTCTTTAGTAGGCAGTTGACGGTCCAGATCTGGTTTAGTTGTAATAAGTGTTGCAGCGTTTTCTTCTCGTTTTCTAATATATATTGCACCCTCGTTACAACAGCAAAAAGCATAATCATGGTTTTTTGCTCTCGATCTGGCTCCTAATAAATAAAATTCTATTTTCTTTCGTTTCAGAAAATTTTAATCGGCAAGCCAATTATTCCCATGTCTGCGCTGCTGGTGAGTGTCATTCTTTATTTAAAGGCTTTTAGTACCTGGTTGCGCTTGGATCGCCGGAGCAAACGCACTACGATGGGTCGAGGAATTCTACTGCCACCATCTGGAACATTAGGTGGTACAGCCAGGCGCCGAGGTTCAACGCGGGTAATCCAGTCCACTTCAACGTCTTCCAACTGTGCTCCAACTTTTTGAGCGGCTACCTACCTTAAAATTTGTTCAAGTTTTTCATTATTAACTCCTGGTATACGGACGATCTCTATCTCGTTGGGGAGCCCGTGTTGAGCTTGTATATTGAGCTCATTCTGTAGATTGGCCAGAGATGCGTGCAAGTTTAGAATTTCCTGACCGCGTTTTTCTAGTTTTATCAAGCGACTTTCATTGGCTGACATGCCCCACACTAACTCGTCTATCCTTTCATGGCAATGGCTTAGAGAGTGCGTCAATTCATCCAACTTTGTTTTTAGCGTCGTAAATTCACTAATTAAGAGAGCGATTACTGCTGTTAATTCTTTTATTTTTGTCTCAGGAGTCTGATAGTTGGAGACAGACTTTTTGCTCATCGTAATGTTCTGCGAATCTGGATTACAGCGTATTATTTTCGTTTGAGTGTTACCGCCGACTTTTTTCTTGGAAGCACTACATTCGGGGCACTTCCAGCACTTTTTCCCCTCCACTGTAACCGAAGTTAAATTAATACAGTACGAGCAGTATGTTTTTTCGCATTTTGGTGATGTACATATAATGACACTTCATTCTTAGTAATCTTCAGACAAACTGGGCACTTCATGGCCAATTAGTCCGTAATCCTTAATCCGTAATTATAATGAGTGATAACTTAGTGCTAATTACATGAAACATTTACTAACTTAATTTTGAAAGTAAAAAATAAACATACCGTGTACACATATATCACAGTTCCAAGAAGTATCTTACATGTGAGATCGCACACGTTCTACTTGAACATAAATTTGGCAACAGAAACAAAAATTTGCTGCAAAATTTTACTTTGTAAATTATGTGCACCTTAATAAACGTAAAGATAACACCACAGCCTCCATAACGTATCAAAAGAGCAATGCTTTTACTTTTCCCGTGCGTATTACAAGAACCAAGCGAATTGCGGATTAGTTAGTCCGCGTCTTTTAATATACCATATGTTGACGGCTTGGCGGCTTCAGGGAAATCAACTTTGGATTTCTCCCCGTGGGTGTTGTAAGCGATATGCATATATGCCTATGCCGTAGACATTGTTTCACATGATTACGGTACGTTAGTTAATCTTCGTCATTCATTGGATATTCACGTGACATTCATATTCTATCTCATGCCATCAGATGGCACTATATTTAAAAAGATTATAACACATGTATATTTTTCAGCCAATATACTGCAGGCGAATGTCACGTAAATATCCAATGAATGACGAAGATTAACTAACAGACCAATCGTGTGAAAGAATATCTACCGTAACCACATATTGCCCTTATACTTCACCAAATAGATATTTAAATTGACTATTGAGCATGTCAAGGCTGTGCTCACCACAATAAAATAACAAACATGTGAAATCATATGTTTGTTATTTTATTACGCCGTGTGTTGGCGGCTTAAGATAAACCATCACTGCATTGCTCCCCATGAGTGTCATAAGTGAAACACCAGTACGATATTTTGGCTTTCGACCGATAACGCTGTAGTTAACTCATTTACAACAAGCTTAAAATATTCAGACCGGCAACGGGGAACAGCGCGCAAGGTGCAAGACGTCTGGTACTGCGATGGTCGAACCGCCTTCCCTACAACAGAAGTTGCCCATATCTAGCAGTGGACTTGCGGACGCCTGGTATGTTTATATATAAGGTAATACTTTAGTTTATCTGAAGCTTATTCAATGGTTATAAAATATATAAGTAGTGTAATAGAAGCGGCATTTGGTAAAACTAGATCTCGATCTTTAGAAAATTTCCTAAAATTTATATTAGATTTTTCTTCTTCTTCATCAGCTCTTTGAAGTCATCATAGACAAGTCTCTCCCACTTCGGAAGAATTTGTTTTATTTGTCACGTTCAGCAGGTAGAATGTCATATATTTCACACCTTTGACTCTTTTTTTTTATAGGATCCGGTGACAGACGAGCACACAGTCCACCTGATGGTAAGTGATTACTGTGACCAAATGTGTGTGTTCAAATGCATGCGGCGAGACATACTCAATTTCAATACAGCAATTGAAGAAGCGACCGAGTGGAACCAAGGCTCCAAAGTCTTTGCCAGAGATTTGTCTGCCAGAAAGAGCCAACTGTCAAGGCTGAGGACTGAGTATGGCAGTATCGTTTCCGGGACACATGAGATTTTGAGTGAGATTGAGAGGTTCTATGGGCAGCTGTACACGTCAACGTTGGAGCCATACGCAAGTGTGAGTAACGATCCAAGAAATATTTTTATCCCACACTATGCCGTAGATATCCCGGACGTTAGTCTGAGCGAGATTATAATAGCTCACCAGTATCATAAAAACGGCAAGGCCCCAGGTGGGATGAAATTACAGCGGAGCTCTTGAAAGCAGGTGGAAAACCGGTACTTGTAGTCCTTCAGAAGCTCTTTAATTCCGTCCTCCATGGTGGCACTACTCCAGACGCGTGGAGCAGAAGTGGGGTGGTCTTGTTCTTCAAGAAAGGCGACGACGCTCTCTTGAAGAACTACAGACCGATTTCCCTTCTGAGCCGCGTCTACGTGCCGTTTTCGAAACTCATTACGAATCGTCTCGCATGCAGACTCGACGACTTCCAGCTTCCTGAACAAGCCGGTTTCCGAAAAGACTTTAGTACCATAGACCACATACACACCCTTCGGCAAATTGTACAGAAGACAAAAGAGTATAATCTTCCACGCAACCATGTACCTATTTATCACTCTCGCGTGGCCTGTCGCGTATCAAAACCGACGTGCTTCAATAGAAACCTGACGTTTTACTGAAATGTGAATTGTAAAAATAAGATTGAGGCACATTCGTACTGTCTGCTCGAGTTCGCTAGCACAATTAACACGTTGTGACACAAGATACAGGCGTTTAAATTAAAAAAAAAAGTTATAATTTTTTCGTTATTTTCTGAAATAATTAATTATAAAATTTTCTGTTCTATTCCTCTTATTACCCAAGTGAAAATGAAAATGAAAATATTTATGAAAATATTTATTTGTCTCAAAACAGTTACATGGATTATAAATGAGAATAGAATAGAATAGAATAGAATAGAATCATTTTTTATTCAATATACATTACATGTGTTATTCTTATTGAAAGTCATTTTTTGCTTTACCAGACATCCCCAGTGAGTAATTGATAATACTTGTGTTGGGGTTATCTCGCTCTTTCCCTTAATTATGATATATTGAGACTATTTTACAAAAGGTAAGTAAAAATTAATTAGTGAAGAAAAAATAACAGTAAGTGACTTATAAACTAATAATTAGCTCTTTGTGTAACTGTAGTTGTACGCCTGTGTGTTTTAAAAACAGGGTTGTGCTGTCTAGTGTGCGTGTCTGTGTTTATGTGTGAATGTGTGCCTTCTTTGAAGTGCCGGTGTGTTCGAAGCGCAGTTAATAGATTAAGCTCGGTATGTACATACATTGTTGATAAGAAAGAAACAAAAATAAATTGCTTAACTAAGTCTACCTAAAATTTGTTCAGTTTCCTCGTATGTTAAGGTTTTTCACTACTAAGTTATAACTAGTATAGACTGATTGGATTGCATACTGATTCCGTGCAAAAGCGGTTCGGACTCTTAGGGAGTAAGCCACTATATCTTTTCAATAATTACAATTTTGCTCCAAGTGTTCCGCATATGTGTGTATTCTAATTTTAAAATTAAGGCCTGGTTTAGACCTTAAACTAGGAGAAAAACAAATGTAGTTCGTTTTAGTAACATTAAGGGTTAGCAGATTGGCTTTGAGCCATCTATCTATAACAACTAGTCCTTGCTCGGCATTATTGCACAGTTCTTCCCACGAGACCCCAATGTAAACGATGGCCGTGTCGTCCGCATAGGAGAAGGTTTTCCCACCACTGTTTCGTAGGTTGCATAGTTCAATAATATACACTAGAAACAGTCATGGGCCAAGAATCAAGCCCTGTGGGACACCATAAACAATGTTTTCCTCCTCATTAAGCAAGTTATCTATTTTAACCTGCTATCTCCTACCTCGGAGGTAGCTGTCAAAGAGGGAAAGAGATTACCTCTTATTCCTATAGCTTCAAGTCTCTGTACAAGGATGGGGAAAGATACGGTGTCAAAAGCCTTTATCAGATCTAGAACCACCGTAACGCATTTATAACCATTGTTTACGTTATTAACGATTTCAGATGTTAATGCAATTATCGCATCCTGAGTTACCATTCGTGTATAAAACCGTATAATGAATCTGAAATAATGTTGTATTTATTTAAATAGTAGTAATGTTGTATTTATTTAAATACTAGTATTTTGTTTAATATTTTCTTTATTAGTTTTATAAGAGATGGTAAGACAGATATCGTCCGATAATTGTTAACATCACCCTTGTGCCCATCTTTGTGCACGGGCGTAATTAAAAAACATTTTTAGAGCATCAGGAAATACGCCCGTTTCGAAACACATATGAATCAACTGGCTAGTAAGAGGAACAACAAGTTCTCGAGATAATTTAAGGGAACCCACAGGTATGCAATCCCAAAAAATCAAAAATTATAAAAAAAACATAAATTAAAAAAAAATCAAGTGATGTTTCAATACTGGTTCTGAAGTTTCAAATTAATGAAAATTTTGCTGCTGATTAATCAATAGATCAATAACTCCCAGACAACCAACAACATAAATCGTTCGATAAGCTGTATCAAGTAATAAGTTACAAATAACTGCCTATACCAGAGATTTAAAACAGAACAACGGTTATATAGTTGGTTATACGGTATATTGCACCAAGTAGTAATTTAGTTAGTAATTTTTTGTGTATATGCTACTACTTACGTGAAAATTATGAGAAAAAAAAGTTAGCAAAATTTTTGTTGCTGGTCGGTAACGAAAGAAGCAACTCATAAAGAGCCAGCAACAAAATAAATTCTATCGATAAGCTGCACCAAGTAATTAGTTAGTAGTTATTTGTGTACATGCTATATTACTATGAAAATTTTAGAAAAAAAAGGCAGCAGATATTTTGTTGCTGGTCAGTAACGGAAGCAGCAACTAACAAAGAGCCAGAAACAAAATAAAATCAATCGATAAGCTGCACCATGTTACTAGTTAGTAATAATTTGTGTACATGCTATGTTTTTAGGAAAATTTAGGAAAAAAAGCAGATATTTTATTGTTGTTCAGTAACAGATGCAGCAAATCATAAAGAGCCAGCAACAAAATAAAATAGATCGATAGGATACACCAACTAAAAAGATAATAATTATTTGTAAACAAGCTATATTTACATGAAAATTATAAGAATAAAGATAGTAAATAATTTGTTGCTGGTCAGTAACGGAAGCAGCAACTCATGCAGAGCCAATAACAAAATAAAATAGATCGATAAGTTGCCCAAGTAATAAGTTAATAATTATTTGTGTACATGCAATATTTACATGAAAATTTTAGGAAAAATGTTAGCAGATATTTTGTTGCTGGTCAGTTATAGAAGCAGCACTTCATAAAGAGCCAGCAACGAAACAAAATCGATCAATAAGTTGCACTACGTCATTAGTTAGAAATTATTTGTGTACATGCTATATTTGCTATTTTTATTCCTGAAATTCCATGTAAATATAGCATGAAAACAAATAATTATTAACTTATTACTTATTGCAGCTTATCGATAGACTTTATTTTGGTGTTGGCTCTTTGTAACTTGCTGCTTCCATTGCTGACCAACAACAAAATATGTGCTAACTTTTTTCCTATAATTTTCTAGTAAATATAGCATGTACACAAATAATTATTAACTTATTACATGGTGCAGTTTATCGAACCGTTTTATTTTGTTGCTGGCTCTTTATGATTTGCTGCATTCGTTACTGACCAACAACAAAATATTTGTTTTTTTTTAATTTTCCTAAAATTATAGCATGTACACAAATAATTACTAACTAATAACGTGGTGCAGCTTATCGATTGATTTTGTTTTGTTGCTGGCTCTTTGTAAATTGCTGCTACCGTTACTGACCAGCAGCAAAATATCTGCTACCTTTTTTCTAATTTTTTTTTTAGAAATATAGCATGTACACAAATAGTTACTAACTAATTACTTGGTGCAGCTTATCGATCTATTTTATTTTGTTGCTGGCTCTTTATGAGTTGCTGCTTGCGTTACTGACCAGCAACAAAAATTCTGCTAACTTTATTTCTCATAATTTTCATGTACGTATTAGCATGTACACAAAAAATTGCTAAGTAATTACTTGGTGCAATATACCGTATAACCAACAATATAACCATTGTTCTGTTTTAAATCTCTCGTATAGGCAACATGTACACATTTATTTGTAACTTATTACTTGATACAGCTTATCGACCGATTTTATATAATTAAATGTATTAAATTTAAAACAACGAATGTTAAAAATCTGAGTACCAATGTGTTTTAAATGGGGAAGAACTAAGCCCTGTTGAATCCACTGTTTTTCTTGGCATCACTCTTGACGCAAAGCTATAGTGGCGCCACCATATATCCAAATTAGCAAGCAGACTAAATTCCGCAGCCTGTGCTGTAAAAAAGATTAGAAGTCTCACTAGTGTCGAGACAGCTAGATTAGTTTATTTCAGTTATTTCCATAGCATAATATCTTATGGGATTTTGCTATGGCGAAATGCGGCTGATTCAGAAACTATTTTTGTTTTACAGAATAGGGCCATTAGAGCTATTTACAACCTAAAACCGAGAGAGTCTCTTAGAGATAAATTTAAAGAAATAAATATATTAACTTTGGCCTCTCAGTATATTTACGAAAATTTAAAGTATGTTCACAAAAACAAAGGTAGTTTTAGTAAAAAAAAGTGATATACATTCTGTAAACACTAGGAACAAACACAAGCTAGTGATACCAGTTTCTCGACTCCACAGAGTCAGTTATTCAATCTTGGGGCAATGTATACGCTATTACAACAAGGTCCCGGAAAGTGTACAGGCTCTCTCTATTAGCAAGTTTAAATGTTTTGTTAAGTTGAAACTGTATAAAAAGGGTTATTATAGTATAAATGAATACATGGTTGACAAAAACCCCTGGGAATGAGGTAATCGCTTCCAAGCTGTTTCTAAAATAAATTTTGTACTTATATAGTTTTTACAACCATTAATGTAAAATTTGCTTTAAAAAAATGTCCCGATGGGTTTTTTGCTGATTCTTCCCAGGATAGAGGTCTTTTTTCAAACCAGTGGTAAAGTAAAAAAATGACTTTCAATAAGAATTACACATGTGATCTATATTGAATTAAAAACTATCCTATTCTATTCTATTCTATGTTATTGTAGGCTGTCTGGGAGTTATTGATCTATTTATTAATCAGCAGCAAAATTTTCAATTATTTGGATCTTCGGAACCAGTATTAAAACATCACTTGATATTTATTTATATTTTTAATTTTTTTCCATTATATTTCATCAATTAATTAGCAACAAATAATCCCGTTTTATCCGCTACGGCGGGGATGATTGAAAGTTTTTCTGCTATTTTAATGTAAAGATAGCAGTAAATCAATTTTCTTAAAACTGGTTAGAGTAACAAAATCGCGATTATGACAACTAATTAGCAACAAATTAGCTACAAATTCCTAGATACAATTTTAAGGTTTCTGCTGACTTTTCAGTGCTATCTTTATAGAGCTGTATACTAGACGCTTGGGTTTTTTTTATAATGGGTAATGTCATTAATTTTACGCCAGAGTAGTTTGGGATTTTTAAAGAATTTAATATCTTATATTTAACCTTTGAGTGCGAAAACGCCTGTAAGTTATAATCAATATAACGTTAAAAGGATCTTTTCTCTTTTGTAGCTGCAATTTATTTCTAAGCCTAATACATCTTAGGGCTGCCATAGTTATCCAGGGCTTTAAAGTTCACTTGGAGCTGGACACTGAGAAAACTTTAGTGTTTTGGAGGAGGGATGTCCTGTCCTAATCATGTCTATCATCGCGTCAGTTCGAATGTTTGGGTCTCAATGTGCACTAAGAAAGGACAAATTTATATCTGCAAGGTGTTTATAGGTATTCTGCCATTTTGCTATGGTTTTATATTTGACACAAGTCTTGCTTTGGTATTTGTGGGATACGAAAGCCGAGTTATTTAATTTGTCTAGCTTAAGGAGAACGTGATCGAGGCAGTTCTCCTCCCTAGTAGGCAAACAGTATCCTGGGAGGAAACCAAGTATAGCCATCATATTTAAATAGGTTAATCTGTTAGTTCTCATTTCTGCTGATTCTGACGGCTTTTCTATTAAGTTAATATTTATGTCTCCAGAAATAATGGTAAATGGTCCATAGAAACTGTGTATGAATACTTTGAAGATACTGATCAAATGAGTAAGTAAAAGTCTCAGTGGATACATTCGACGAAGGCCGATAGATATTAATAATGGTGAAATTTGAAATATTTATTTCCAAGGCGGATGCATGCGTTAAATTGATTTCAGCTACCTGGGGTAAGTGGCAGTTTTTAAATAGACTACTACGCCATCATTTTGGTTAAGTTGCCTAAATGTATTAAACGGAAGTATAGTTGTTTAACACTGGTAAAGTTTTATTAGTTTTTAATCTGTATTCTGTTAGGATTAGCACATCTACCTCAACTCCGATTTGAGACAAAGTTATCTGAAAATCGTGGGAGTTACTGTAAATATGTATATGTATATATATATATATATATATATATATATAATGTTTTGTTTTAGGGCAGTCATGTTATTAGAATCTCGTTGTAGGTATGTATGTAAATGTGGAATATCAAGAAAAGCAGAATTAGCTATCTAAGCGGTACCCAATTCCTATAAATTACATAAGTTACTATTAATTATTAATTAGAATGACAAACGGTGATTCCTGCAGATTGAACAATAATTTTTCAGTAATCTGACGACAACTTCTGTATTTAATTAAATGCGTATAAATTGGTATATCAAAACATACTATATTAGGCACTATGCAGAATAAGTGTGGGTGTGGGTGTATTGAGTGAGTTAGTTGTTTTTGTTTTGTGATATGGAGTGTTCGAAAGAAAGTATTTGTGTGTGTAACAGCGAGCTGAGCATACTTACGATTATAATTAAAATAGTTTAAAATATATCTGTATTGATTAAATTTAAACAAAACATTATTTATATTAATAGAAAGAGGCAAAATTATAAGTACTAATAATATTTTAATGATTGTGACAGTACATATTA